AGCTGTCATAAATAATGCTGCAGTGAACATGAGGGTGCATATACCTTTCCAAGTTAGTGTTTTCTGTTTTTTTTTGGATAAATACCCAGAAGTGGAAGTGCTGGTAGTTCTATTTTTAATATTTTGAACTTCCATACCACTTTCCATTGTGGCTGCATCAATTTACATTCCCACCAGCAGTGCACAATGGTTCCCTTTTCTCCACATTCTCACCATTTGTTGTTTCTGGTCTTTTTGGGAATAGCCATTCTAACAGTTGTAAGGTGATATCTCGTGATTTTAATTTGCATTTCTGTGATGATCAGTTCTTTCTTTTCATACACAACAAACAATTAGGAAATGAAATATTTAATTACCATTTACATCATCATAAATTACTTAGGAACAAATCTAATGAAAGATATGCAATATGTCTACATTGAAAATTACAAATGTTGCCAAGAAAAAGTAAAGAAGACCTAGATAAAGGGAAACTATACCTTATTTGATTTGGAGGACTCAGTATTATTAAGATGTCAGTTCTTCCCAAACTGATCTGTAGATTGAATGCAGTCCTAATAAAAATCTCAGTTTTCCTTGTGGAAATTGGAAAGTAGATTCTAAAATTCATATGTAAGTACAAAGGACTAGAACAACCAAGGTAATCTTGAAGAACAGCAACAAAGCTAGAGGGCTCATAGTACTAGACATCGGGATTTATTATAAGCTACAGTAATTAAAACAATGTGATGTTGGCATAGGATAGATCAGTGGAACAGAATACAGTTCAGAAATAGTATATGAACACCTGATTTAGCACAAAGCACCACTGTCGTTCAGTAGGGAAAGGATGGTCCTTTTAATAAAGGATAGGTAATCAATTGGTTATCCTTAACCTAACCTCATTTGATTAAAATGAACTGTAGACTCAAATGTGAAAAGTGAAAAAAGAAAAAAACACCAAAGAAAGAAACTGCTAGGAAACAACTTGGGGAGAAAAATCTTAAGATCTTGGGATAAGTAAAGATTTCTTAAACAGGACATTAAAAGCACTAACCATATTTGGATTTTATTAAAATTAAGGGCTTCTTTTTATAAAATGACACTGTTAAGAGAAAGAAAATGTTACCACAGACTGACAGAAGGTCAATCTGCAACACATATCTGACAAAGGATTCATATTCGGAATATATGAAGAACTTCTACAAATAAGAGGAATCTCCTTTTGTTACTCAAAGTTTTTTAAACAGGCAAAAGATTAGGGCAGGCACTTCACAAAAAGATGATATCCAGATGGCCAGTATGCATGAGAAAAGGTACCCTCATTAGATATCAGGAAAATGAAAATTAAATATATATGACTTATTATTCTATTCCACCAGAGTAGCTAAAATTTAAAAGATTAACCGTACCAAGTATTATTGCTGGTGGACATGTAATTAGTTAGAACCACTTCAGAAAACTGGCAGTTTTTACTGAAGTTAAAACATATGTATACTGTATGACTCATTTCTGGTAATATACTCAGAGAGAAATGAGGACATATATCAAAAACATTCAGGAATGTTCATTAAAACGTTATTCATAGTAGCTCAAAATAGAAACAATTCAGATTCTCAAAGGAGAATGGATTAAATATATTTGTAAAATGGATGTCAGCATAACAGCAGAGAAGAACTGTGACATACAGGGACAGGGCTTAGTCATATAGGCAACATCTTCAGTGACAACAAAAAATCCAGAAACAGCAGCGTATATGCTATACGATTTCTTTGATATGGGTGGGTGAATGAATAAGAGTCCTGAATCTCCTGTTAAGTACATAAATATATACTTGTGGTAATAAAAGACAGAAGGGTGGTTTCTGTGCTAGGGGAGGCAGTGAATGAACTACACCTGTGAACAATAACATGAATAAATCTCAGTATTGAGTGAAACAAAAATGCCACTTGTAAAAGAATGTACACTATGATTCCATTTATATGAAGTTCAAAAATAGGCAAAACTAAACTACAGCTTTTGAAGTAAATTAGTTGGTTACCTTTTCAGAGGATGGAGTGGGTAGAGATTGAAAAAGGGAAGAAGGCGGCTGGGGGCATGTCTGGTGTGGCAGTGCTCTTGACCTGTGAGGTAGTAACACCAGTGTTTGCTTTGTGGCTTTATTTTGCTTTACATTCTGTGCATTTTTCTATAAGCCTGTTACACTTCAGTAAAGATTTAGAAAACAAATACCTAAAAGGTCTGCAGCTACTAAATGAATATCAACATTTTAAAGTGTTTTTCTGTTAAAAAAAAGTCTGTTTACAAAACTGAAAAATTACTACCTTTTTTCATTCACTTCTTTGCATTGCATGTGTATTTTTCCGTATTAGAAATTTTTCCCTTTGTGAAGTTTAAATTTTTCTTGTTCATATTTAGAAAAGCATGCTTTCAAATTGAGATGCATCCATAATCTATCTTAGCTGTCTGATCCTTTAATTTACTACTTTGGTAGCAATTTATCAATTGCAAACATGCTTTTAATTTTAAATTTTTGGTTCTTTTAAACACATCATATATTCTGGGAAAATGAAGAGCTCATGATTATCAGGTGACAGGCAAACTCATTAGTAAAATTTGACTCTCTTCCCTTTTTAGATTTTTTATTTGCAGCAACTTTGTTATTGATACCAATTTTCTGGTTTGGCATTCCTAATAGTTCTATTTGTCACGTTGAGGATGTGAGATAGATCTGTGGTTTATTATCTTTGCAATTTTCAAATAAGCATCGTATCTACTAATCTTTGGTCTTAGTATTCACTGAAAATACTCATCTCTAAGTAAAATTTTTTTTGGTGAGTAAAATATTCACTGTATGGCTTTGTTCAAATAGGAGATGATATATTAACATACTTGCTCATATTAATGTTCCTCTTTTTCTAGAGAAAATCTCTTCATGAAAACAAATTGAAGAGACTGCAAGAGAAGGTAGAAGTCTTGGAGGCAAAGAGAGAAGAATTGGAAACAGAAAATCAGGTGTTAAATAGGTAATGTGTTTGTATATTTACATACCTCATGTCATTATTTTGATGTTATTGAACTTTGTTTCTGAGTATAATACACTTGGGTTTCTTTTTCAATTTGCATTTAAGAGAATTCTAAAGCTACTCATTATACTTCTAATTCATTATCCTTGTTCTTTTTTTTTTTTTTTTTCTTTTTTTCCTGACTGAATGTTTCTTCAGAGCAGAAGGTCTCTAACACATGCCAGGCGGCTGTGTTTCCGTTGAGACTGACGGGAAGGTCAGTCATTGACTTTGGTGGCCAGGAGTGGTGTGAATCCTTGCTGCTGAGACAAGGCAGTTGTAGTGCTATTACATAGTTTTAAGATTGTGGCTACAACTTCATGTCAAAGTTCAGGGTTTTGTAAAATTTTTTGGTGTGGAAAATTATTATTGGCAGTAGCTTCTCATTTATTATTTGTATCCAAGCACAGCTAGTGATCTTTATCATTAGCATTTTTGAGCAGAGATTTACCTACCATATTAATTTAGTGGTAGTGGCATTATGTGACCTGTGTGATTCAAGGTAATAAAAAAGTGTTTTCAGATTCAGCTAATTAGTAATAGTCTTCAGCATTTAGACAATATTGGTCTTTTCTGTAATGGGAATTGCCTGTAATATCAAGCAGTGATGTTTTATAATGTACACTGGTCTTCTAGGGTGTAATTATTACCAAATTGTGAACATTTGTTGTTTTAGAACATCCAAAGGTTTCTAGACTGTGGAATTAATGTCAGCTTTACAATACTCTGTTCCAAAGTAAGAAGCCACCAAATTTCATTGTAAAATAAAATTCAACTTACTACCTCGTCTATAACCATTATTTGAAATATCAATTCAAGATTGGATACTATGGGACAGATTACCTAGAACTTTGAGTGGTTTTTTGAAACTGTATTTGATTACTGGTATGATTGATCATCAGGAAATTCATGTTCAAAGAGGTGATGATCTATGAAGGCCTGAAAGTTACTATTTTATCCATATCATTTTCCCCAACGGTGGGTAGCTTTACCTTTGTCATTAGGTACATTTTAAAAAGTTAAATTGAATAATAAAAACTTCCCTATATTTGACTGTATTTCACCTACAAAAATGGCAGTTTGGTAAGATTCAATCTAGTATTTTCTCTATTTCTATTTTATCCCTTCTGTAAAATAAGGTATCCTTTTGGCTTAAGGAGTCTCCTTTAGTTTTAAGATTTATGGGTTGGAGTAGAGTGGAAATGAAAGTAAAACTAGCAAAACACTTTTAACCTTTGATTAATTGACAAATAAAACTGAATTGATAGCCTGCAGTGCTAACAGTAATACAATTAAGACGTCACGTCATGTTCCTGTTTGTCTTTCTAGATAAACAGAATTTTATCTGTATATTATAGATAAATCTTAAAATTTAGAAATCCTTCTCTTCCAATTAAAATTATGTTCTGTGATTCATACTGATCTTTAATAGAATATGACTATATTAAAGAATAGAAACACTTTTTCTTTTTAAGACAAAATGTTCCATTTGAAGAATATACAAGGCTTCAAAAAAGACTAAAGGATATACAGAGAAGACATAATGAGTTTCGAAGTTTAATTTTGGTTCCTAACCTACCTCCAACAGCATCCATCAATCCTGTTAGCTTTCAGTCATCAACTGTGATTCCAGGCATGGAATTGTCCTTTTCTCCTCATATGCAGGTATGAGCATTTATTTTAGGTTAAAAAAAGTTAGATAAATGTTTCTGTAAGTTTTTACCTGTTTAAACAGTTTAAAAAAACCTCTGTTTCCGAGCAGATTTCTCTGGTAAAGAAGCAGAGAGGATTTGAATCTGTTCTGTCTTTTAGGGATGGTGCTAGGAGTGAGCTCTCCTATTGGGCAGTTGAAAGGAAGAAACTTGAGTGAAGTCTTTGACTTGAGTTTGTAGCTCACTCATAGAATACTGATGACCACTGATCATTTACTAACTCACTGCATTTTGCATTTTCCAGACAACATTTTATTTAATCCTAATGAAAAGTGCTTTGAGGGAAAGTATTATTCCCAATTTACAGATGAGGAAGCTTTGTCAGAGGTGAAGTGACTTGCCTAAGGTCATAGCTTAATAAATGACAGTTGAGTTTTATACCAAAGTCTATCAGATTCCAAAACCTGAGTTCTTGCACTTAATCAGATCCCTGAGATATTGAGGAAGTCAAATTGATTAGATAATTTTCAGAAGATGAACTGTTAATAAGCAATTACATTTCATAATATAAGCACTGAAGGTTTTTTACACTGAATTGAATCTCAGATAAAGCGCTTTGTTATATAATAAACTGGTGTTAAACTCTAGTCTTGTTAGAAAGTTGTTATTTAAGTACACCTGGGCTCTGCATTACTGTTACCTAATTCATTCCCTGGGGAATTTTACACTTAAAGAACAGACTTTGGGTTTGGCTTAAGGATAGGGCCAGAGGCAGGAGAGGAGCGAGGACTAGTTGACAGGTTAGCCCATGCTGCTGTGTTCTTAGACTACTCAGATGGCCATCCTTTCCTTGCCAGATGTTGAAGGGATGAGTAATAAAAGAAGCACTGAGGTTGCTGCCCAACAGTTATTTTTCCACCACTCCTTGTAGCAGTCTTTTTTGCTGTTCTTTTTCTCTCTTTCTGTGCTTTTAAGGAGGAGCAACATCAAAGGGAACTCTCTCTACTTCGCAAAAGACTAGAAGAACTAGAAACAACACAAAGAAAACAACTAGAGGAACTTGGATCTCCTGGGGAATAATGTTCTTGGAGAGAAGGCAGATCAAAAGGGATGAAATCACTGACTCAATAAAGCTTGAAGTTTTAACGTACGTGGCATTTACATATTTTATTACTGTTTGCCAAAACATTTGAATGTGCCTCAAGAAAAGGTATCAGCTACATGCTGAATTGCATGAGTGTCAGAATTTGAGGGTTATACTAATGACAAGTGAAGCATTAAAATAGCTTCAGAGATATTTAGAATATTATTGACAACCCTTGGGGAATGTAAAATAAATGAAAAAATAAAAAGAACTAATTAGGGGATCAAGTTTTTAAAATGGTTTTATTTTGTTGATTTTTTTTTTTTTTTTTTTGCATTTTGCCTGAAATATACCCATGTTAAATTTCCTCTTCCTCCTCCTTGAGATGCTTGGCGATAACAGGGTCAGTAAACGTTTGCTGGTTCACTATATACAAGAGTTATAAACCTCTTGTTCTTGATAAAAGATGACACTTTAAAAATCATTACAGAATACTACCTTTTTAAGAAGCTGTGTGCACATAATTTATTAAAGCTCTTAATAAATATTTTTCTTTTGTGTTTAATTTTATTTTAACCATACAGTGTATATTTAGCAATGTAGATGATCTGATTTTGGCTTTGTTGAGTTAGAATTAATAGAAAATAACAAAGTACAAATAATTTAAGTCCTGCAGCTCTATAAAACCTGAACCCAGTGGGATCCCTTTAGAAAATAATATTGGTATCTAACTTTGCCTCCTACTGTTTTGGATCTAACCAAATTATTATAAATGTTTTATTTCTGTGTGTCCTTAAGTATGCCATCATTTGCTTTTTCATGTAACATCTTTTAGAGGCATTCTGCTGGAATAACTTCACGTCAAGAAGGCAAAGCTCAAGTCTGTCAGAGTAAGTAGTGTTCATTATCCAGAAGTCTTCACTTTCAGAAGTCCAAGTTGATGGTGGAGGCCAGGAATGTAATTGCGCAACCTTTAACTTCCTTTAGAAGAAAGTAGGTTTACTTGTTACATAATGTATAGCTGCTAATTTACAGAGTATATACAGTGACACCTTGCTTCTGAAAAATAATTTCCATGGAGCCACTTAGAATAAAAAAATCTACTATAACTAGAAAATTTGGAGGAAAAACGAAAACAGTCCACATTTACATCAAAATGTTTATTTTTGGATATAGACATTTAAAACATTCATCTCCAAGAACTGCTTCAATCAGGTATACAGTAAGAAATAGACTTTAAATCCCTAATACAGAAAAAAGTAACAGAATTAATTTTTAAATGCTGCTGTAGACACTAGTGTTAGAAAAAAAAAGTTTATAAATGGTTTTGCACCAAAAAAATATGCAAAGAAACTTGAAAATAGAATTGTTTGCCATTTGTTTCTCTGGTTGCTGTTTAATATAGACCCAGTGACTGATTGTCTTCAGCACACATCTAATTTGGCCATTTACTGCGTTTGGCTAATGTGATCCGAAACATGATATAGTGCTTTTCACTGGAGGATTGACAAACACGCTACATACATTAGTGAATCTTCACACCACCTCAGTGAGGTAGCTTAGAAATATTATACAGAAATTGAGGCACAAAGAGGTAAGTGACTTGCCCAAAGTTCCCAGCAGCACAGTCCCTAGAAGAGGAGATAAGTAAGTCTCCACACAGGACTCAGGTGCCAGAGACCTGGACAGGGACACCTTCACATAGCATTTACTAAATACTTGGATAAAGCTGTAGCTAATCCTTTCAGTTCTCTTAGCATTTCTGTACCCTAAAGAGGGGAAGTCTTTGGGCAACTCTCCTATCCTTGGCTCTCAACTCTCCTGCTGTTCTCTTATGCCTTCACATCAAGACTACAGCAGCCTTAGACGGGGACCAGGCCTCTCACCTTTGTTATCTATTTGGTAGTATTTTTGAGGTGTGTCCATTGGACAGACAGTGGTCAAAAGCAGTGGGATTTGGAAGGTGCCTTTCAGGGCAGTAAATGCTTATTTTGTCTGATCAGGTAGTTGAGGTGTCCCTTCTCACTCATTACCAGATAATGAGGAGCAAAAAAGGACTATTTATTTAAGACAAATTCACATTTAAATCCTGATATCCCATACAGTGTTGATAAATGATTTTAAGGAATGTGTGATCAAGGGTTTGTTTTGCTACTTGAAAAATTTTCTTTCCTCAATCTGGGAAATAGAGCCACAGGGAAAGTTTGAGAGTTGCCAATTACACTTATGACTTCTGGTTTTAATAGAAGGAAAACACAGTGGTATTAAAACTGGTCATGAGCAGCAAAAATTCAGGAATAAAAAAATCAGCAATAAAAAGACTACAATATAACTAGATAGGGAATTCTTTAAAAAAAAAGGCATGAATAAAACAGGTATTTTTAAATTCTTTCCCTTCTGAGGAATACTTTCAAAAAGTACATAGTAAGACTAAGATACCAAGTTGGATACTAATATTTTTCAGGCCGTGGGCCTTATATATATTCATATATAATACTCCAGTGTGAACAACAATTTCATGAAATGTAAAATGCACTTTTTTTAATCACACACAAGTATTTATATCCACAGGGTTCACCGGAAATCTAAAGCAAGGAGTTAGTTACTGGGATAGAAATGTAGGCTTAGGGGAGTGAGCAACTTTTCCACACACAGTTCTGATCGAAGATTATAGACAGAAATAAACTAGTGATTTTTTTTTACAATAGCAAACATGTCCAGTATGAAACACATTTAGTAGGAAAAACTAAAATGAAAAAAAAACGAATATACTTTAAGATATACCTTAAGATGAAGTGTTTAGGTAACTGCTGTTGGACGTAGCGAAGCCTACCCCCCCCCTCCTTGCTTTAGAGCTCCTCAGTGAGATGGAGGTGAGTTTGATGGAGTACAGTTGGTGACCACTGAAAAACACGAGCCCTTTCAACAATGTTGCAACACTGTTAGTTTTTGGTTTAAAACACACACACACACACTCACAAATGCTAAGTGTACACACTACCAAATTCTGCGGTCAGCTTTTCCAAGAACTACTGGGGAAAGTTTCAATGCTGCAAATCCTCGAGGTTGCCCTAACGCCCCCACCTTGTTTCCAAATGACTCATGCCATTTCACATTTTGTTTTGCTCTATTAGCAATGTCCCTTGTCTGCAGAGGTGCAGTGTAGTCACAAGTGCTACACAGCTGTAGTTTTCTAACAAAACCATTTACATCATTGTGCTTAAATGGAGACTGGTTACAATACTGACCCTTGCTTACTGGCCCTGTATTCTCTGTAAACGAGGCTGTTTGCAACAACCACTCTTGAACTCTTATTTACAGAAGGGTTCCCACAGCACACACACAGGCACAATGGTTGTTGTTATGCTTTCTAAAAGCTGTGCATGTGCCTTGGTCTCTTAAAAAAGACAGTGCTTAAAGTGGAACCTATGTGCAAACTTAATGACACAGAGTAGCTCAAGCAGCCATTTTGCTCCCAAGTCGTCTGAAGAACTTTGCCAGATTAAGCCAGGCCCCAGAGTGCTTACATCCACTTGCATTTCTTCTTTTCATCAAACAAGACTTTTACATGCAAGAGTTGTTTCTGAGCTTCTTCCAGCCCTCGTTCTCTTTCTAGTTTATTTAGAATCTGTTGACAATTAGAACAGTTATTTTAGATATTGAGGTTTTAGCATTACAATTCTGGTTTTTTGCATTCCTGATGCTGTGAGTGGTAAAATCTGTATGAAACAGATGCCAACATTTTCTTCGATCATTTACATACTCACTTTGCAAGTTGTTTTCCTAAGTCATTATCACAGGATCAACAACACTTTGGCTTAAAATAGAAGCGCACAAGAAATACCAACTATTTGCTTACAAATACGGGGCCAGACTTCCAAGGCCCTGTTTTATGCATTAAGTCACAGCCATTCCAAGCACAGCAAGCATTCCTGAGCAGCCAACATGCAGGCAAGTATTTCTTCTTAAATGCAGCAAGCAGGGGCATCCTGGTCAAAGGAAGTATTTCCCGCCCCGCCCCGCCCCTCCCCAGTGCTTCCCTTCTAACCCCTGACCCCTGAAAGAGGGATGCTTAAGAGGGATGCTTATCATGTTTAAGGAACTCATTGCCTCTACCCTACCTTAGCGCTTCACTTGATCTTCAAGTAGCAAATGGAATTGGTGAGCTATTCTCACCATTGACATGGATAGCCTGTCCCAGCATGACTGAGTGGGGGGAATCAGGGAAGGGGGAATTAACATATATTTGGAAACAGAGCATCTGATGACTGTGTCTGTGTGAATTCCCAAAGAAAAAAACCCAGATTAAGGAGAATTAATCATAAAGGAGCATGGTTTATTGAAATAGTTGCTTAAGTTAGAAATATGTCATACTTTAACTATTGAATACAGAATCTAGGCGATTTAACAAGCTTAGCTTTCATTTTAGCAGATAACAATCAAGCATAAGCTGGCCCCTTTTAGCAGGACCACTACTTACTCATCAAAGTTAACTGTGTCAATGTGGCTGTAGACCCCATGAACTCACACGTAAATGGCTGGTCCGAAGGTGGGCAGCATGATAGAACTATGAGGGGTGGCCACGTGCAGGGTCTGGCTTAGTGCCAGGATCCCCTATCTCAGACAGGCTTCCCTTTCTGGCCGCTTGGGATACCAGAGCTGTTCTGAGACCTACAGAATCCTTTATAACCAAATTCTGATGACTGATTCAGATTAATTTCTAAAAATGTTATTTAAAATCTTACCTCATCAAAATATTTTACGATGTATTTGTAGATTTCTGTCAAGGCCACTTCTTCATTAAATTCATTTTCATGTTTCTTAAAAGAAAGAAAAGCCTTACTGAGAGATTCTGAAAAGGTGGTGGTTGTTTTTTAAAGTATCCAAATATTATCTACTTTCTAACAATACCTTAGATTCCTGAGTTAAGAATTCTTCCATCTCTGAAGATGACAATGGAGGCAAGTCCTTGATTGCTTTGTAGTAAGATTTTACTTCCTCTTTGTAGGTTGGGATATCCTTGGCATAGAGAAGTTTATTAGTTGGTGCTTCCTGAAAAACAGCAACCACCACCAAGAGCTTTTTAAAAAACATGGAGAATATATAACAGTACCAGTGTAGCTGACCATCACTATTATTACCCTCCTTGCAACAAGGCTTCTTCATGCAGTAGGCCTTCATAAATGTTAACTGAATGACTGACTGCTATCCAGAGAGTTCTGGTGAGTCACTGTTATTTTCAGGCAGATTAAATGCTAATATATTCTGCCTTCCCCTCATAAAAGAACTAAAATTATTATTTTTGCATGATTTTGAGTTACTGTAACAATGGAACTTATTTCAGTCATAGTTCATTACTAATAGTTGTAAAAAGCCTGAATTAAAACATTCGCTCTCATCCTCACCCACCAGTGAATTCTGGCATTTATAAAAGACTTGATTGTAGGTCTGATTGAGCCCTTTATGTAACCATGAACATGGTAAGTAATTGGCAGTGGCAGATTTTTCTCCTTGTTCCTTTTATTTTACTAGATTATAAAGCTCTTCCAGGGTCCTTGATGAGGCGCATGGTTATTAGTATTGGTGGCTCTGATGCCTCATTTTGCAAAAGTTTCCTGGCAGCTTAAATGTTTTCATGTAATTATAACAGTGATATTAAAAAATAAGATATATTTTTAAAAGTTATTTTTCACAAAATTAAAATTCTGTCAAAGGAGTAATTGATCAGTAGTGAAAGAATGAAATGGAAAAATTTATTCAAGCCAACCTGAGGATTACAGCCCAGGAAATATCGCCTCTTGGAAAAGCTCTGAAGCTTTGTTCCAAAGAGATAAGGGGAGAGGTCAGTATACATGTGATTCGGGGGAAAGGGGTACATGAAATCAAATGCACATGTTAGTAGAAGGTTACTGCTATTTCTGGGGAACAGATATCATAATTAATGGTTTTAGTGCTTTTCTAAGTATGAGAAGCAGCAACAAACTTATTAGTTCATAAAATTTTCTCTTGAAAATACCCAATTATCTGAGGGCCAGTTCTGCCAGAGCACAAAATGCCTCATCCTGATCTTTGCCCCTGCTTCCTTTCAGGGTGTACTGCAGGTCAGTGAATGCAGTGGCTGATGACTTTACTCTTACAGAACCGGATGGTGGGTGACATTATTTTACTGTCCACCCCCGCCCCCCGTTTTGGTAGTAATTTTGACCAAAGGTTGACCAAGGTTGGGAAAGCATGTCATGACCTGGAATGCTCATTCCCACGTCAGGTGAGAATTTCCTTGACAGGCCACTCAATGTACTAGTGCTGGCTGAGGTAGGGCCTGTTAACAGTAGCCAAAAGCCCTTGGATTGTCTGTCCTTCTAGTCTGTTATGGTCCAGGAAATGGTTCCCTCCTGATGCTTCTTCCCATATCTAGAATTGACAATCATTGATATGTGGTCTTTCAAGTCACTTAGTCATCATCATTTTTATTGGAGGCTCAGTCAAGAAACGATAATCCTGTAAAACAGGCAGACTACAAGTAATATAGCTAGTAACATTAATAAAGTCTTAAGTACTTAAGCTAAGAACTTCCACTGGGTGCAGCCCAGCATCTCCCTAGGCTGTCTGACCACTCTGTTCTGCACCAATTGCTGTCTTTAAGGGAAACAATACATTAGCGTTGTACATAAAGCTCACCAAAGATGTCTGTATGTGTAAGGTGAGCAATGGGTCATCGGGAAGCCTTACAGAATTGAGAAAGCAATGTTGTCATCTCAGGAGTTACATGGCTTGTGCCAGAAGAAAAACTGATCTTTGTGGTTCAGCAGGTTTTCCTGCCACTTGTTAATGCATGATGCAGATGCACAATGTACACTAACTAGAGGGGAGGGAGGAGGTCCCAACAGCCAGGAAAGAATTTTGTTTAAGGCAAGACAAGAAAAATTTTAAAGTATGAATTTTCATTGTATCACTACTCTAGGAAGATAGGTTATTCAAGCCATTGATACATTTACAAATGTACTGGGGACGTTAGCCCTGCCATTAACTCGCCTATCAATGGCTTGATGAATTATTTTGAAGGATGCCTAGACTGCCTAGACTGAGATAATTTTTCACATCAAGTTTAAGCAGAACCCACAAATCATGCCATCATTCATTCAATAAAGATTCATTTAGCCAGGCACTGAATGAAGAATACTAACCAGTACCTGCCCTTACGAAGCTTACAATCTAGCAGAGAAGACAAACTTACACAGTGCTTATTAAGATACCAGTCATTAGTAGCAGGGTGTAGAGCAAAGAATAGTTAGACATATGATCTTAACCAAGACCTATAACCTCTCAGAACATCCAATTTCCTCATCTATAAAATGAGAGTAATAACTACTTTATGTGGTTCTTGTGAGGAGTAGCTGAAATATGCCAAGAACATAGTAATCAATAAAACAGCCATTTTTTTTTTTTACTATGAGTAAATAACCATTTAAGCATCTTTCAGCATAATGCGTGGTGGAAAGAACATTACTGGTCAGAGAAACTGTGGGATATACATCAGGGGAACATTCACAGAGTAGTTATACTTACACTGCTGAGTCTCCTATAGTTTCTGGTATACATTAGGAAAGGGTGTGTGTTGAATGAATAGGGTTTTATTGGACAGAGGGCTTATGAGGCAGGAAAGGGGTGGGGAACAAGCCCAGGGTAAATTTGGGGAAACTAAAAGGCAAAGCATAGAAGGTATATGGACCGTGCCAGAAAACAGAACTGGAGCTCAGTCAGGAAAGGCCGTGTGGCACTGCGAAGATTTTATCTGGTAGGTGATGGGAGTATTTACAGTGTTTAAGCAGGAGCCCAACAAATCAAATTTATGTTTTAGAAAGATAACCTGAGATACAGTGAAAGAGGGGAGGACAGCAGGGGCCAGGGCACCAGTTAGGAGGCAGTCATCCCAGTGGAGAAGGGAGAGGGTAGGGGAATGAGAAAAAAAGGGACAGACATGAAGTTTGGAGATGAAGATAATACAGAGGATTCTCCCTTGAGAGACTAGGTGATGCTCAGAAAATAAAAGTAAAAAACAAGTTTGTTCTGCAAAAATGGGGGTGGTAGTAAATTTGGATTTAGACTAGGAGCCTGAGGTACCTGTGAAACGTCTATCACACTTCATTCCAGGCACCCTGAACATCCTTCCACCACTGCCTAGCGGGGAAAGGTTTTCTAAATCCATTAGGTACAGATATTGCTCACTTTAATATATTTCAGAGTACATGAATAAAACTCAAAGTTTCCTCTATATTATCATCTTTCTTTGCTTTTTAGGGCTTTTGCTCAGCAAAGAAAACCATAGGAAAAACAATAGTGATGTTTTGATTATAAACTGACAAACAGAAGACGTAAGAAATCTCAGGCAAGGTTTTCTTCCCCATAAGAAATTTGTTAGATTCAAATAGACTCTTAGGTATATTCAGATGGAATTACTTGAGGCAAATTTCAGTAATTTCATAGTTCATTAGTATGTGTAGAATGTTTTCCTAGGAAACAATTTACACTTTGTGCTAAAGGTTTTCACAGGCAGAGTTCTACCATAGGGTGGGGATAATCTATTTTGGTTTTCACTTGTTCTGTTGTGTCATTTAGTATCTCCATTGTCTTATTTTCTGTCTGGAAGACCTGTCCAGTGATGTTAAAGGTTGATATTTTTAAGACATTACACCCCCAGAATATACATTCAAGTGCTTATGGAACACTCTCTAGGATAGACCACATACTCAGGCACAAAAGAAGCCTCAACAAATTTAAGAGGACAGAGTATTTCAAGCATCTTCTCTGACCACAATAGCATGAAACTAGAAATCAATCACAGAAAAAAACAAATTAGGAAAAAAAAAAAAAACAGCATGGAGGCTAAGCAGCATGCTACTAAAAAACCACTGGGTCAGCAATGAGCTCAAAGAAGAAATTTAAAAATACCTTGAGACAAATGACAATGAAAATACAACCACACAAAATCTATGAGATGCAGCAAAAATAGTCCTAAGAGGGACGTTCATAGCAATACAGGCCTTCCTCAAAAAAACAACAACAATCTCAAATAAACAACCTAACCTACCACCTAAAAGAATCAGAAGAACAAAGCCAAGTCAGCAGAAGGAAAGAAGTAAGAGATTTTTAACAATATAAAAAAAAATCAAACCAAGAACTGTTTTCATGAGAGTAACCAAAATTTACAAGCCTCTGGCCAGGCTCATCAAGAAGAAAAGGACACAAAGAAAATGGAAAGATTACAACCAATGCCACAGAAATACAAAAAAATCATAAGAGAATACTACAAACTATATGGGAATAAATTAGACAACTTAGAAGAAATGGACAGGTTTCTAGGAACATACAGTCCACCAAAATGGAATCAAGAGGAAATTGGTCTGTTCAAATGATCTATCACTAGAAATAGCAATAAAAAGCCTCCCTGCAAACAAAAGTCTAGGACCAGATGGCTTCACTGGGGAATCCTATCAAACATGCAAAGAAGAGCTCTTATCAATCCTCAAACTCTTCCAAAAGACTGAACAGGAGGGAACACTCCCAAACTCATTCTATGAAGCCACCATCACCCTAATTCCAAAGCCAAAGACACTACCAAAAATTAGACTTACCTCATGATCCAGCAATCCCACTCCTGGACATGTTATCTGGAGGGAACCTTAACTCAAAAAGATACATGCATCCCAATGTTCACAATAGCACTATTTACAAGAGCGAAGACATGGAAACAACCTAAATGTC